TCACGTTCCCCCCCCCCCCCCCCCCCGCCTATGATTCCTGTTCCACCTAAAGGTTAAAATCAACTGCTTGGTCGTGGCAGCAGCATTTCTACTCAGGCATGAGTGAGGAAGCCAACTGATTTAATGGCTCATTATAATTGACCTGATTCCTTCTAAACTCCTCATTCCATAGGTGTTAATGGCCTTCTCCTTCTTAATGGTCTTGATGTTCCACTAATAAAGCTACCTTTTCTTCTGCAATTCTACTGTCTGATAACTGCTCCTGGCAATGTAGCTCATGCTCCATAGCCCTGCAGAACTATTTTAACTCTAGCGAACAACATTAACTCAAGTGTGGAAGCAGGGGGTGCGCAAAGCGGGCCATAGTTGATTTGGATTCAGATCACTGTCCCTGATTTCATTCAACCAAATCTGAATCTGAAGATTTGATGCCAATTCAGAGAATCAGCAATTCGGACACACACACAGCTTTAAATGTTTTTTCTACATACCTCAATGTACCAATGCGGGTCATGAACACCGAGATGCTGGGGTGGATGGAGCGTCCCCCAGGAGCGCGGGGGGAGGTGGGGGGGCACATGTTCAGCGGCGAACCCAAAAGTGGACCAGAAGTAATTCCAGTCCCCTTCCAGGTCTGCTGGGGAGCACACTGGGAGGGAGGGGCCCTGCACCCCCTGCTCAGTGATTGGGCAAAGAGGAACTCCAGGTGCCCCCTCAGACCCAGGAGGTACCAGTCACCAAGCAGGGGAGGTGTGGGTGGGCCCCCCTGCGCACTCCCTGGCAGACCCGAAAGTGGGCCGGAAGTGCTTCTTGTCCACTTCCAGGTCTGCTGCCAAGCGCGCTGGGAAGCCCCCTCGCTCCTGTGGGACGCTCCATTGGCCTCACCTTCGCAGCATTCACCAGCCGCCTGCTACCTTGAGGTATGTCGAAAAAAACATTTAAAGCTGTGTCTGTATCTGAATCTCCAAATTGATTCGGAGGGTTCTGATTCAATTCAGAGAGATTAAAGGGTCTCCCGATTTGGAGATTTGGCTGCAAAATTGGGCCAAGTCTCCACTGAATCGAATCAGGAACCAAAGTTTCACACAGCCCTAGTGCAAACTTTAACTCAGGTCTGGAAATAACTTTCAATGAAGCATTGAATGCACTGTCAAAATGCTCAAGATGACTACATTTTGTTTTATGAATCTTAGAGATGTACATTTAATTCTAATCACTACAGGGCTAAAAAAACAGCATCTTGTGATTATTTTTGCATAGTTCATTGTGGTATTTTTATATGTCATATACTTAATTAGCAAACTAATGGACATTCCAATACAGATATTTTTGTTTTTACTTCAATCTTAAACTGAATAATATAGCCCTAGGCCCCTAGCTTATTAGCAAAGCTTATAGTCTCTTTTTAATGAGAGAAAATGTGTTGTGTTATGCGTGATGATGCACCACACCATCTGCATCCCCCTTTTCAAAGTCCTAGGTGGTTGTGGGTAAACCAGTGACACATGCAACACTGTAGCCAGTACCTGGAGGATGGCACCTAAAATCTTCCTGGCTTCCTGGTAAAGTTTTTCTCCATTCCAGAATGGATTTAATTTCTTCAGCTGTGTGGCCAGATGGTTGTGCTCCCTCATAAAAAGCGTGTGCATAGCAGCAAGCTCTAACATCTCACTGGATCGAGTGTCACCTACAAAAACCAAAATCATTTGTCTCCTTCAGCCAACCCATTTTTATATGCCACAGATCTCGATGGACTTGACTATTTTATACTAACTGAATTATCTCAAAGCTTCCCCTTTCACTCATGCCACCTTCCCCCGACTCTCCTCCTTCCCTCGAGCACAGCCATGACTCCCCCAAGAACTCTGCAAATCATCCCATCACCCCAAGTCCTCTACTGCCACCCAGCTTCTCTTACTATTCATTGTAATCCACTCCCTTGCAGGAATCAATTCATCTTAAGTACAAGTCAAAATATTTGTCTAACCCACAAAAATAATTTGGGAATGAGAAGGTCAAAGTGTCAATATGTCCAGGTAAAACCTGCTAGGCACCAAGTATTCCCTACTTGGAAAAGCTGTGCCCTGGCCTAGCACAGGGAAGACACCTGGTGCTGGTCACATCTGCATGTTACCTCATGCCTACAGCAACTCTCTATTGGTTCAGGCACAAGAAGCCTGTGCAAAAGGTCTAGGCCTTGATCCTTGCCAACAATACTGACCTCAAATTTGATATAATGTCCATACATATCAGACACTAGCCAGCGCTTCTCTAAAGGGGCAACAGCAATATCCTGGCCTGGTGCTTGCAGCTATGACTCCATTTAGCAGTCCCAGCAACTCTGCCACCTGCTTCTATTTCAGAGCTATCAGGGATTTATGCTTTGCATGTAGAAAGCCCCACCTTGGCTCTGTTAATATATCCTATTATTTATAAATCCATGCTAGCTCACATGCTTATGAGGAAAAGACCTCTTTCACAGGAATTAACAACCTATGGCCCACAGGCTGAATCTGGGCCATGAAACCTTTGGATCCCGCTCACAGATGCAAGGCTTCAGTGGCATTCATCCCTGTGCTGCCGTAGGAATAAGCACCCGCAGCTACAGGGTCCTAGCCCACAGCCAGAATTGGTTGAATACCCTTGTTCTATGGTGCTGTATTAAGTAATTAACAAAATCCCCAAGATGCTTTGTTAATTATGTTAGGAGCCTCACCAAACTATGTATGACCTTGTAACCTAATCAATTATTTTTATGAATTGTTTATTAGGGGCTTTCAGTTTATAAAACAATTTGCTCATCTTGCACTTAATACGTCCCAGCTACAAGAAAAAACTACTCATGTGCCTGGTACTGTGTTATTTTCAGTATTGTTCTCCTTTTCAGATAAGCCAGCATGCACGGACTACAACAGGTTTGTACAGCGTAAAAGAAATTCTCTCCAAAAAGGATTTCATGACGTCAGACACTGGGCTTGCTACATCTGAAGTCTGGAATACTGGCAAAGATAAAGTAAATCTCACCAATCCTTCATGTCACTGATTTGTTATGTTTTTTATAGCCCTAATCAAAGACCTCATGCAGTTTTCATTTCTGTACTGGTCTACTTCTCAGGAGGCACCATAGCAAACAAAAGAACAACAGTGTACTCCTCACATCAGCATTGCTTTTTTTTTTTTTCTTTACCTCCTAATTTTTAACTGTAGTAGAGGGGGGGGGAACAGTGGGAAGTAGCTCCAGGTGCCACCCCTGTTGGGGAGGTAGGCTGGCACAAAAATAGCTGTGACCACAGCAGCAGCTGATCAGGCTACTGGAATTGGCACCACAGAAGCTGGCACTGACCTGGTCATCACACAGCTGCCCGGCTATGCCTCCTATTGCTTGAAGTGTTTTTTATAAGTACCAATAAATAAGATAGAACCAACAGAGTTATTTACTCCGGGTCACCAAATCAGAGAATGACAGGAGCTGCAAAAGCATGGCTTACCTGCAAGAAAACATGGGATTTGAGCTTTCCCACTGACCATCAAACATGGATCCTCCTTCATCTTAACAAAAGGCAAGAAAGCCAACCCTCGGTCAGTAAATCTGTCGTTAACAGCCAGCAAGCCCAGCTGGTTGTTCTGATTCCTTAGCTTGTTAGCCAAAGGCACTTCACTGCCATACACCATGCTGGCATCGAGAAAGGATGTGAGTGCATTGATCTGTTCTCGAACGGCACTGCCCATAGAGCATGCAGGGGCTGAGCGGGTGAATGGGATGCAGTCATTTGTGTTTTTAATACGGGGATCATTGCGTGGAATCTGCAAGAAAATAAGCATGATTGGTCACCTTCATGGGAGGGCACGGACCCTCTCAGAAAACAACATTTCCTCAGTTTCATAACACAAAAATGGCAGGAAACACTGTATATACACCCTTCAGTGGTGAATAGCCTGGAGACCAAACACAGCTCTTCATTTATGACAAAGGGGTGGGTTGCCCAGAAAACCTAAGGTTCTTCTCGGCTATAAGAGTCAAGATTTTCATGCACTCTGATGAAGCCCAAGTTGCTTCCATTACAGTCTCCTCCACACCTGATGTGTGCAGAACTCCCTATGTCTTGAGAGCCCCAACTGCTCAGTGCCTATCCCATGCCTAACCCCAAGTGCCATTCACCACCTCCATGTTCATCTCACCTGCAGGTCCTGGTCTGGCAGACCTGCTCAGAGTACATCCAACCCCACATAAAACCCAGCGTAAAGAAAGGATGGCGCCTTGTTTAACACAGCTGGCTATAGCACTTACCTGGGTTATGGGAGACAGGGTAGAATTCTGTTTCTCTTTGCCTGTCTAAGTGACAGCTTTGAAGCTGCATAAGTGGCTTGATGGCACTTAGGTGCAGGCAGAAATTCTACCTCCCCTGCAGTGTTGATGCCTAAATGTGAACCAGAGGGTCTAGAACCCTGATATCTAGCTGTGTGCCCTAACCACTCACTCAACCACTTGGGCTAAAGCATTGGTCTTCCTTCTGCACCACCACCTAAGCCAATCAGATGAAAAGATCCAATTGGCTTAGGTGCCTACTGCCTAACTCCAGCAAAGGATTCATTGCTGTAAATCTCAAGCATAGATATTCATTCCCCTCAGTCAATCCAATGTTCCCCCTTTGAGAAGAGGCACATTTGAAAGAACCTGCAGGGAAAGACAGTGGCCAATATTCTATTGCACCTATTAGGTGTACAAATTAACCTAGATGCTTTAAGTGTAATCCTACTCCCTTCTGCTTGAAACCCTGAAAAACAGTTAATAGAAGAAAGGCAGGTAGATCCTCCTACTCACTGCTTTTTGCAACTCAATCTTAAGGGTAAAATGATAGTGTGATACAAAAGTAGGTTACTGGACTTTCAGGAACTTGAACAGGGTGGAAAAGAATCACACCTAGGCACTTAAGTCCACTTAAGTGTATATCAGGTGGGAAGGAGCCCAGCCCCACTGCAGCTCCCCATCCCTGAGGTTAGTTAATTGTAGGGAATGAGACACCTCTTCTTTTTCCTGTTCTCTGGAAGGCAAAATCCTGTCATTACCTTGATGGGGAAGCAAGGTAGTGCTTTGACACAGCTGGTTTCACAGTTCACTCTCCCACGGAAGGTAAAGTGAGTTGGTGTATCAGGAGCGAAGTCCAAATCATGGTCGATAAACTGGCCCCATTGCATGAACATGAGTGCCCTCTGATGGTCCATCCTAAACTGGGTAGTATGGAAGCGTACAATCTCATTTGACACTTTTCGGACCTGGAGAGGATGAAAACAAAGAATATACTAAGGAATAGATCTGGGAAAGCATGGTTTATGTAAAATACAGGAAAAAGTGTGTTAGTTCCCAAGGCCACTGATAGATCCCCGTACGAGAAGGAAGCTGCTCAGACCTCCTGTTAGAAATGCAAGATTTCAAAAGGCAAATTCTTCACTTATTTTTAATGCAGGCTATATGTTGTGCTCCCTCCATAGAGAACTTTTACCCTTTACTTTCCATCTCTACTCAGCTCTGCTAACCCTGGCAAACACCAAAAATCCCCTTCACTTAGAGCTCTTCCACTCACAGTTCTGAAGGAGCATCGTAAAAGGTAAGCATGAGTTCTTATTTCACAGATCAAGAAAGTAACAGACAAAAAGATTAAACTGTTGTTTTCAAATGTTGGTGTCAAGAATCAGTTCTGTGCAGAACAGCTCTGAACATCAGGTATGTAAGTATTTAGGTGCCTCGTGTTAGATATGCAAAAATCTAATACACTTGGTTCAGAGATGATACCTTTTATTAGACCAACTAAGAAATCACAAAAAAAAAAATCTTTTTCTGCAAGCTTTCAGGCTCACATACGCTTCATCGGGCTCAGGGAACATTAAAGATGGTAAAAATGCCCCATAGGTAGGAAATAAACTTTATTTTTCCACAGAGGAAGCTGAAGGTGGAAATCTGTCCCTCTGGGTCCATGACAGTGTCTTTCTGAATTGCTCTTTGTTGTGCAGATCAGACAGGATTCCTTCCCTGGTGGTGTCAAAAGGCAAGCAGGAAGGTGTAGAAATCTTTCTTGCTGTTCAGCAGTGAAATTTATAATCCTAAATTGGCTAAAATTCAGCATCATGTTAGACATTCCATTTAGAAGTAGGGATCTGAGTTCCTCAATTATAACTTGAGGAAGAGAAAGAAATATAATGCTGTTGCCTCTCATGTGGCTGGTGGTTTGAGGCCAATCCATGTATATTTGTAAGAAAACAGAGGTATTAAGGTCAGGCAGTAAAAAAAAAGTGGATTCTTGGATTTCTAATGGAAATTCTTAGGCTTTATTTTAAAAGAAAAAAAGAAATTCCATATTCTGGAACAATGTGCCTATTCACCAGCACTCTGCAGGAGTACCCTGTCTCATACAAAGCACATTTTGAACGAAGCAAAGGCTCTAATAAAGACCTCACCTCATTTCATGTATATTTTAGAAAATGCACAAATGCACCACCTGGTTAGACTAGTGAAGGGCTGTGTCTAGACAAGTATTTAAGGTGTGATGCCAGCATCTGTTATTTGATGTGTCCTAATTAACACATTTTAAAAATGTAACTGGAGCCTTATTGACACTAAAGTTGTAGGGTTTGTAGATTTTAATATAATAAATTTAACACATTTGTCTGCCTAAGAGGCCTACCCAAAGCTCACAATAGGTCTCTTTCAGTTGATGATATTCATTTTACTTAGGAATCATATTCCTTCTGTTTGGTTCTATGTCTCTGAGGGACAGGACTGTCTCTGGAGTCAGTCTTCCTTTACCATGCTCCTGCCCTCCCTCCACATTGTTTTGCTCAGTTTGTTGGTCATACATGACTAGGGAGACTCTTTGTCCATGTTAGATCCTTGCCTGCTTAGCTCAAGCCACTGGTTTGTAGTTCCCTGTCTTTAAAGTCTCTCATTCTCGCTGATTTTGGGAGTGGAATGGGAGCTTCCATGGAAATCCCCAGCTTCTCAGGTCCTCTGTGCTTCTGACTGCCCTTGTCTCCCATCACTGCATCCACTTCTAACAGGAGAAGTTTTCCCACACTGCCCCTTCTTCCACAATTTCCCTTGCTGGGTATATTTTAATTTTGAGATATTTATGGTCCATGACTCTGTTTAGCATTAGGTTAGTGTGCTTGGAAACTATAAGTCAGGCCTGAATAACAATGAGATCAGCTTACAATCACTAGATTTTAAAACAATAATAAATTTGGGGTCATCCCTTAACCCGCTGTATGAGGCCATTAGGGTTCAGCCATAGCTTTTCCTGAAATAAGAGCTAGGAGCTCCTTATTTCTAATGAAAGTGCAGAGACCCATGACCTCTCCTCCTAGTGCCAAACTCTATGGTGATTTTTCATGATTTCAATTGCATTCATGTATTTAAGTGAGTTTACAAATCCTCACCAAGGGGAGAGTGAATCCAAAAACACGTTTTCCTTCTGTCCATCCTCGAGGAAGTGAAACTCTATCTTCATATTCTGCTGGCAGCCACCGGGCAAAACCTCTGTTGGAAGCCCCTAATGTAGGATGTCTCCTACAAGATTAAATGAAAGAATCAGAATTTATAATAGCAACTAATTATTAGTGGTGGCACAATAGTGCCAGAGTCCTTGAAATAAGGGCTGGTACCCAGGTCTCCTCTATCTAAGTGGTAAAAGATGTGGGTTTGAATCTGCTTAGACAAGGGGAAGAATTGAGCCCTAGCTTTTTGCATCCTAGTAAAGTGCTCTAACCACTGTGCCAGGAGGACACCATGCCTCCTCCCTGTCACCAGTGGATTCAGGGTGTAGCCTGAACCTACAGATGCATTTTTGTTGTGTCTGAGAACACCTACCAGATCAAACCCTCAGGGTAGATGGGGAGAAAAGCACCTAATTTCTAGATCTGGATCAAGTGTAGGCCTGAGCCTGTTTGGCTCTGTCAGGATTGGAGGCACTTTAGGGCATGTACAGAGGCAAAACTTTAGGCACCTGGAATCACAATTTTATGCTTAGGCAGCTAAATTCTACCCAGTCCCATGTTAGGCGCATAAGCCCCCTCTTGAATCAGAGCTCCAAGTCCCTCATAGGGAGAAGCAGCCATCCTCCCCATGACAGGTGCTATCACCTGTTGTTGCATTCACCCGTGATTGTACGGTACTGACTTCTGCCTTCACACTTTACTTCCATGTTCTGTTGGGCACATCCTGTCATCCTGTAAATCACTTCCAGCTGCACTGGGGTTAGCACATCTGCAAGAAAACATAATGGAGGATAGTTCCTGAGCACCTTGACCCTGCTGGGCTGAGGCACTGGACACAGATATAACCTTCTGGGTCAATTTCCAAACTCACAACTGCTGTCTGTGGAAAATGTGCAAGAGTGAGTGAAGCTTTTGACCAGTCCTGCCAGACTGACCAGGCCACCAATTCCCTGGTCACAATATCTTCATGCATGGTACATCAGAGATGGAAGTTGCTGGAAAAAGACAGCACACACTTACTTTCAGATCTCCCATCTGCAGAAATGGGGAGATGCCTAGATGAAGGAACGGAAGGACACATTAGTGAAGAGACTATCCCCATCCTCCCTACAGCTGGAAAGTGGTTGTGTTTGATTCAAATCCCAAAAGAAAAATGTAGGATTGGAAAGGTGGAAGATCTGTTTTGCTCTTTCATGCCAGTGTCAGATAAACTACAGGCCCTGTGCCCCTAACATTATCTTGTTAAGGCTTCAGCAAAGTCTTAGCTGAATGTTTGTAGAGTCAAGGCTCCCCTCACAAAATGCCAGCTCCTGGTTGTCACTCATTTTTTGATTACAGAAAAAAATAGAGCAATTC